TCAGAATTTGGGAGGAAATTTGGGAAAATTGTTGTCGGTTTTTGTACAATTCTACCACCCGAATGTATGCGTAATTTCTTATAATATTCAGCTGAGGAGAGCAAACATATATTTTCGTGACTCTCAGTCCTGTTTCGGAGAAGTTTACTGCAAGTATTTTGGTAGCAGTTGTAAACTGTACGCCTTCAAAGATGCAATGCCGTCTTTTGTACGGCTGTTTGAGTAACCCGTTACTGCAAGGGTTTGTTAGAGTATAAAACTATAGGCGCTTTGATGATCATATGTTTTCAACACATACATTCAAGGTGTAAGATTCTGCATCTAGTAACAACTCTGGTTCACTGTCGTTGTTCAGTCTGCAGTTGAGTAGTAGCGGCTCTGAATGTCTTGTGGGTATAGATTTTGTTCAGCGATTTATTGTGGGTAATTTAGTCACACAATAGGGATATTTTACGCGGGTTGGTAGGATTCTGTGAGATGCTCCTGGGATGTGCAGGTCCAAAAGTGTTGGAGTATAATTGTCGTTTTGGCGATCCAGAGACCCAAGCGTTGTTGCCACTGTTGGTGTCGAACAAGATTGATTGGTAATGGGAAAGTTGCATAAACTGGCAGGCAATTGTCATTCTTAGTTACGACCTCTTCCTCTCGTGTACAGCGGCGGGAAAGCAATTGTCGTCAAAGTTGTCGGCGAGGCTTGACGCAATAAAAGGATCTTCGGTGAGAGTCAGTATTATTGGTTGAATGGATAACATCAGTGTTTGTCATTCGTGAGGTTGTTGGTTCAATCCCTGCCCATGGCGTTTAGGTAACCGTTGTATTGGCCAGCCGTGGGTATCCAGGTGGGTTCACCAAAGGGCATCCCATCAACGGTGTCAACAGGGCGGAATGCGTCCCAGGCGTTCACGTGTACGTATCTTTGCGCACTCGGGAGATTTCCCCCCTCTATCTCGATTGAGCTAGATACTATGCGGGGGCGCAGTTTGATGAGAAGAGAGTAGTAGTGACCAGCGGAGGTCGGGTGTTGTCGGTGACTGCTGGAGGGGAGACTGTGAGGGACGCAGCTGAACGGGCGTAGGGGCATCTTGGCATTAGGAGGGGATATGATGTGCTCGACGTGTGGTATGGAAATATCCATTTAAGATGGTTAATTTCTTTTGCAGGGTTAATGGGTGTTGCTGAAATGTTGTAGGAATGCTCGTGGCTGGCTTACCCCAGCTGAGCTCAATATTTTCCTTACTC